TGACCGCGCAGTGAGCTGCCTCCGTATGGTAGCATGCCTCGCCTCGATCCCTCCCATCTCATTGTACTGCATGGCTGCGCACAGCAATAGCTTCTCACGAAACTCATCGCCTGAAAAAGTTGGGTGCTTGCGTTTCATGCTCAGTGTCCAGCTGTCCATGAGGCACTCTCTAACGCGTGAGAACTCATCGCTCTTCTCTGGCCTGCGAAGAAGCAGAAACAACTTAGTAGGGAACTTCTGGTGGGTTTCGTGCATGCCTCGGTGCACTGTGCATAACGCTCTGCTCAAGGTACGAAATGCGAGGCAATTAAACTCGAGGTGGCTGCAGCTCCCAGGATACATCTCCCAAGACTCCGCCCCGAAGAACAATGACCGAACACCCTCCACAAACTTGCCCTCGAGCTCCCCCGATGCAGCGACCAGTAACCGATACGTCCGAACATTCTCGGGCGCCTTCCCCGCCAACAGAGCCTCTGCAACTTTGCGCCTCTCCTTGATTTCCCAATCTGCCGAACCTATTTCCAACTGTGAAGTTATGAGGTCGACGAGGGGTTGCATCGTGTGCCTGATTAGCATTATCCTGCCCATGGGTTTGGTTGCGAGCCAGTCGAGCGACTTCTGTCTGGACTTCGCGTTGTCTGTGGCCTTCGAGTTCGCGTCCTCCCCAGCCGCACCTGCAAAGTGCAGCTCAGATGGCCCTGCGCCGACGGCGGCACCGTCCCCTCGGTCGTCGTCGTCTTCCAGCGCCAATGCTGCATCTGGCTGGGGAAGGGCTGCGCTCGCAGCAAAGGCAGCAACAATCGCACCAGAGTCCTTCGCTTTCCCAGCCATCATATTGCAAAACAATGGAAACGTAGCCGAAAGCAAAGAGTGAACCATTTCCAACCGACCTATCTCCTCCACAGCAAGGTCTGCCCCCAGCCACCTGTGGCGCGGCCACTTGGATGGCTGGCTAGACGCGAGGGCGAAAATCAACCCCCGCGAAATCACCCTAGCGATCTTGGCCCTCCCGATGGAATCCCAGAACTCCTGAGAGCATTGGAATTCAACGCAATAGTCGCGCCTCCAATCTCCATTGGTGAGAACTGCGAACAGCAAACGCTTGGTTTCTACGTGGGAGCCACCCCTCAAGAACACGTCCACACAATGCGACCTGTATCTCTGAGCTTCGGGCGACGGTGGGTGGTCTAGCCGTCTCAGCCTACTGCAAAACACAACAGATAGGGCCCGCCTGAAGACAGTCATCGTCGGCCCGTGGCTCAGGGATAAAGCAGTATGGATAAGGCCAGCGATGTCCTGATCGAAGAATACGCCGTACACTTTATCGAAACAACTGGTCGACACGACGTGAATCTCGCAAGCATTGAACAACAAATCCCAATCCCTCCTCTCGTTGGCCATGCTTCTCTCGCAGAGCAAGTTGCTGGACGCTCTATCCGAACAAACAGCCCGTGCTCGATGCAGAAACTGGTTCGCAGCAACAGAAACTGTTGTTGAAGAAGACAAAGCCTGCTGCAACGCGCTGGCCGTATTCCTCTGCAACACTTGCAGCGGAACCGCCGAGTGCCCAGACAACTTCACCAAAGAACCACCGCACTTCAAAACCATACCGAAACCAGAGCTAGACTGTAAGATCTTTGCTGCTTCAGGCGATGCCGTGACCAACTTTTCAAGCGAGGCGACGGCCCGTTCTGCTGGGCTGAGGGCGCACGGAACTATGGCATGTGTTTCGCAGGGCTGGGCTTCGACGACATTTTCAACTATTCGGGTCTTCATCGGTGTCTCATCGTACCGAGCCTGGTCCAAAAAGAAAATGCAGTTCTGGGGGGTGAGCTTCTGAATTATCCACTTGTCTTGCGTCGGTCGTTCAAGGGCTTGGAAAAGCACTGTCGCTTCGGCAAGTCGATGGCTTTTTCTTTTCAAGGACCGCGCTCTTTCGCCAGTCTCATTCTCCAAACTTGCCCAACTCTGTGTAACATGCTCGCCATGGAAATACTTAGCTACCTTATCCGTCGCCCCATCCCGAACGCTGCCGTTGGCATCTGAATACGACCGTGCGCACAGTAAGCTAGAACAAAGATTGTTTGCGACGAAGAACCCTCCAGAACAAGTCGGCGATACTGCAGCACGCACTCTCAGCTCGCGAGCGGGGGGCAGAACGACAGCGGCGGGAGGCGCTGGGACAAGGGCGGCTGCAAGAGGCGCGGCCGCGACCTCATCCACCGCCCCGCCTCCTGCTCCACGTAGCACCTCCTGCAGCCGCCAGTCGGGCCGCCCACGCTTACTCGGCGGTGGCACCTGGGCGACGGAGGCCGCGGCCTCGTACCTGGCGACGGCGGTCTCGGGGCCGTCAACATCGAGGAGCTGCGGCGCGGGCGACCCGGCAAGGCAAATCACGCGGCACTCTGGAAAATTCCCCGGGGTAGAAGTTGATCAAATACGGAAGCACTTTTGAACGTGTCCAGCCTACTTTTTGGAAAAAAAGACCAAAATTATGTTTTTTCTGTTTTTGAAAATTTCCGGGGACAATTTTGACAAATTCTGGAATCCATTTTGGAAAATTCCGGATTACAGAATTCTTCAGATGTCCTGCGCGGCGGGCGCATTCCACCCTTCAAAACTGTTTTGGTGAAATGTCCAGGCTCCTTTTTGAAAAATTCTGGAACCGCTTGCGCAAAAAAAGCGGAAGCGTTTTTTTTTTTTTTTTTTTTTTTTTTTTTTTTTGTTTTTTTTTTTTTTTATTTTTTTTTTTTTTTTTTTTGTTTTTTTTTTTTTTTTTAAAAAAAAAAAAAAAAAAAAAAAAAAAAAAAACATTATACAATCCAGAAATAATGTCCAGGCGGCCCGACGGGCGCGGCCTGCTGATTCACGCGCCGCGCCGCGCGCGATTGGGCGCAGCGCGCGCCGCGCGTTGCGCCCGCGAAAAGCACTCGAAGGGGCTACCTCGAAAACAGCGCCACGGCAGCTGCGACTCGCGGACTCCCCAAGAGCAACAAAGCATGCAGCTTGGAATCTTCGAGGGCGCTCCGACGCGCGAAAAATGCACCACGAACATCACGCAAAAAACCTGCGCGACGGAATGCGCTCGACCATTCGTCCCTGGAGCCCGCGCGGGAGAACAGGAAAACCAGAAAAAAATGGATAACTACCAATATCAATACTTCATGCTCCTCTGATTCGTATCAATATTATTCGTTGTTTTATTATTGTTGTTCTTATGAGTGCTAGTAGTATTCTTCTTGTGAGTAGTATTATGACAAATAATAGTATTATTCGTAGTAGTAGTACTAGTACTAGGAGTTCGCTTAGTATTATCGGTTGGCTTGTTCATATTATTGGTCGTATGATTCCTCTTCTCAGTATTAGTAGTATCATTACGATTCGTAGTATTAGTAATATGATTGTTAGTTTTCGCATTACCCGTATTATTAATATTATTATTACTAATATTACTGTTCGTCTTCGTATTCATTATCGTATTCGTCTTCTTCGTCTTCGTGATATAAGTATTAGTAGTATGTTTCTTATTTTTCTTATTCTTATTAGTATTCGTAGTATGATTATTATGATGATGATGATTATTATTATTCGTCTTCTTCGTATTATTCATATTTATCCTCCTCCTCCTCCTCCGCCTCCTCCGCCTCCGCTTCCTCCTCCTCCTCCTCCTCGTCCTCGTCCTCCTCCTCCTCCTCCGCCTCCGCCTCCGCCTCCGCCTCCGCCTCCGCCGCCTCCGCCTCCGCCTCCGCCTCCGCCTCCGCCTCCGCCTCCGCCACCGCCGCCGCCTCCGCCTCCGCCAGCCCAGTGCGCCTTCGGATACCCGCGAGACTCTGCGCCCAAGAGGCGGCCCAGGCAGCAGGCGCGAGCTGGTGCGACAGCCTCCTCCTCCTCCTCCTCCTCCTCTCTCCTCCTTTTTCTCCTCCTCTCCTCTCAGCCCCTACTCTCCGCTCCTCCCTGCTCTCCTCCTGCTCCTCCTCATTCCTTCCTCCTCCTCCTCTTCATCCTCCTCATGTCCTCCTCTACTGCTCCTCCTTCTTTTCCACCTCATCCCCTCCTCCTCACCCTCCCCCTTCTCCTCCGCCTCCTCCTCCTCCTCCTCCTTCAGCCTTCAGCCCCTCTGGCATGCCGGGCTGGAAAACCAGGGTGTGCTACGTCACCGCTACGGCAGCACATGCAGATGCACCCCGCGATCATGGGACACGGCTGTTGTACGTCAAGAGGGGGCAGTCGCCACGAGCGCCCACCTCCGAGCGTGAGTGGGCAGTCAGCGGGCCGCGGGCCGCCAATCGGCCGCCCCCCAGCCATGTGGCGGACTCTGCGACGTCGTCGCCGCCACGGCAGGATTGTACCGGGCGCCCGCGCTGTGCACAAGCGCACACGTCTGACCGAGGCGGCCTAAGGCCAGTGCGGCGGAAAAGGATCGCGGCGCGCCGCCGCCACCGCCCTGCCGGTTTCCAGGTCGGGGCCGTCCACGGGGGCCGCCTGCCAGATGGGGCGTCGCGGGCGTGGAGAAGATCGGGATTCACATCGAGTCAAGTCGCCGATGCATCGGCGATGCGGCCAGGTCCTCCGACCTGATTTACGCAGACCCACCTCGGAGGCCTGGGGTCCAGCCGAAGGCAACGTTGCAGACGCGCGGTCCCACATCACATAACCTGAGCCAGGAATGCCTTGGGAAACCTGACCAGAAGCGCAGGACTACATGCTGATCGGGGACCTCGCTGCACCCTGCGTGACTCGAGGATCCGACAGACATTGGTTTCCCAACGTTTTCATTTTGTTTTACCTCGAGGGCCTGAGGGTGACGCGCGCTGCGTAGCGGCGGCGGGCGAGCGCGCGTCCCCCCTCTTCCTCTCCCGCTGCTGCTCCCACTTCCCCCGTCCCACTTCCCTCTGCTGCTCTTCTGCTGCATCCTCCTCCAGCCCCCTCCTGCACTGCCAACACCCGGTCCCGCCCACACCCTCACGCGACTCCCCGCGACGGCAACGACGAAGCTGCGCCTCCGCAGGTGGCGCTGCACTCGCTCCATGCGCCCCAGCTCCCCAGCTGGCAGTCCCGCGCCAGCTCCTTCTGGCACTCCGCCGGGGCCTCGGGGCCCACCCCGGGCAGGCAGGCGAGAGAGCCAGCGAACCGAGCCCGAGCTCGCGAGCCCGAGCCCGAAGATGCCATTCTAACACCAGACTGGCCCTCAGGGGGCAGCGCAGGTGGGGGGGCAGAGCACTCAGCAGGAGTGAGCCCCTGGAGTGGCTGTTCGATCGCTCGGGGCGGCGCGAGTCGAGAGATAGGTGGCACCGCGGAGAGCTGGACGTGCACAGGCGCGGCTGGAGCATGGAGGGGTCTCGACGGGGGGAGCCGGAAGCAAGTGAGCCAGGTGTCGAGTAAGGGCCGAAAAACAATGCCAGTGGGCAACAGAATTCCACGTCAATGTCCGCTGTTGTATGTGTTGTGTGTTTTGTGCTGTGTGTTGTGTGTTGTGTATGGTTTGTGTTGTGTGTTGTATGTTTTGTGTTGTGTGTTGTGTGCTGTGTGTTTGTGTGTTGTGTGTTGTGTGTTTTGTGTTGTGTGTTGTGTGTTTGTGTGTTGTGCATGTGTTGTGTGTTGTGAATGTTGTGTGTCGTTTATGTTGTGCGTGTTGTGTGTGTGTGTTGTGTTGTGTGTGCTGTGCGCGTTGTGTGCTGTGTGAGTCGTGTGTTCTGTATTGTGTGTTGCGTGTATTGTGTGTTGTGAGTTGTGTACTCTGTGTTGTGCGTGTTGTGTGTGTCTTGGGTGTTGTGTGTACTGTGTGTTGTGTATGGTGTGTGCTGTGTGTTGCGTGTGTTGTGTGCTGTGTGTTGTATGGTGTGTGTTGTGTGTGTGCGTTGTGTTGTGTGTTGTGTGTTGTGTTTTGTGTGTTGTGTGTTTGTGTATGTGTTGCGTGTGTTGCGTGTGTTGTGTGTTGTGTGTTGGATTGTGTGTCGTGTGTGTTGTGTGCTGTGTGTTGTGTGATGTGTGATGTGTGTTGACCGTTCTGTGAATGTGTTGTGTGGTGTGTGTTGTGTATGTTGTGTGTTGTGTGTGCGTGTGTGCTGTGTGTTTTCTTGTGTGCGTTGTGTGTATGTGCGTGAGTGCTGTGTTGTGTGCGTTGTGTGTTGTGTGTACTGTGTGTTGTGTGTTGTGCGTGTTGTGTGTTGTGTGCGTGTGTGTTGTGTGGCGTGTGTTTGGTGTGTTGTGTGCTGTGTGTGTTGTGTGTTGTGTGTTGTGTGTGTTGTGTTTTGTGTGTGATGTGTGTTGGGTGTTGTGTGTGTGTCTGTGTGTGTGCCTGTGTGTTGTGTGTTGTGTGTGTTGTGTGTGTTGAGGGTTGTGTGTGTTGTGTGTGCGTTGTGTGCGTGTTGTGCATGGCGTGCGTGTGTGTTGTGTGCTGTGTTTGTGTGTGTGTTGTGTGTGTTGTGTTGTGTGTGCTTGTGTGTGTTGTGTGTGCTGTGTGCTGTGTGTTGTGTGTGCGTGTTTGTGTTGTGTGTGGTGTGTTGTGTTTGTTGTGTGTTGTGTGTTGTGTGTTGTGTGCTGCGTGATATGTGTGTGGTGTGTATGGTGTGTGTTGTGTGTTGTGTGTTGTGTTCGGGTGATGTGTTTGTGTGTGTGTGTTGTGTGTTGTGTGTTGTGTGTTGTGTGTGTTGTGTGTGTGTGTGCTGTGTGTGTTGTGTGTGTGTTGTGTGTTGCGTGCGTTGTCTGTGTTGTGCGTTGTGTGTATGTGCGTGCGTGCGTGCGTGCGTGTGCGTGCGTGCGTGCGTGCGTGTGTGTGCGAGGCGAAAACGAATTCAATACGTTCCCCCGAGGGCGCGTCGCCCAAAATCAAGTTCTTGCGAGAATGGGCGGAAATGGGGGCGGGGGGGCGCATATTCGGCGGCGAGCGAGGGGGGGTAGTGAGAATGAGAAAGACTTCTCAGAAGGCGGCGGGTCTTCTCAGAAGCCCTCGGGCCTTCCGGGAACTTTGGGGAAGGCTTAGAAAGCGTCTCAGACGGCCGGGGGATTCTCGAGCCTGCTGAGAAGGCCCGTTCCTTTTCACTTCCTCCCCTCGCTCGCCGCCTGTATATTGGGTTCTCGCCCTTATCCGGAGTCGTTGGTCCGAGAAGGGATCACGGCATATCAGCGTGGACCCCAAACAATAGGCTCTTGCAATCAATGCGGTGCAATGTACGTGGTGCAATGTACGCGATGCAACTTATGTATTGCAACATACGCAGTGCAATATACACGTACTGCAATATAAGCGATGTTTTTTTTTTGGTTTTGTAATGCCATCTATGCGATGCAATATATGTGATGCAATGAATGCGATGCAACCCATGTAATGCGATCCATGCGGTGCAAAATGTGTGGTGCAATGTATGCGATGCAACATATGTACCGCAATATATACGGTGCAGTATGTCTGGTGCAACGTATGCGATGCAACCATGTAATGCAACCCATGCGGTTCAAAATGTGTGGTGCAATGTATGCGATGCAACCTATGTGCAGCAACATATGCGGTGCAATGTACGTGGTGCAACGTATGCAACGCAACCTGTTGAATACTATATATCTACGCGTTGCAATATCTACATATATATACACATACATACATATGTGTGGCGCAATGTCTGCGGTGCAACCTGCGCAATGCAATCCACGCGGTGCAATATGTGTGGTGCAATGTATGCGATGCAACCTATGGAACGCATCCTAGGCGGTGCAATATATATAGTGCACCGTATGCGATGCAACCTACTCATGCAACACATGCGGTGCCATCTATGTGGTGCAATCAATGTCTGCGATGCAACCCACGTACTGCAGCCTGTGCGGTGCAATCTGCGTGGTGCAATGTATGCGATGCAACCTATGGAATGCAATATACCTATACGACCACCCTGCGGGTGAAAAGGAGGTTTGGGGGGGCAGCAATGGGCAAAAGTGACTGTTGTTCTGACGATGCTTGTGGGGCGGAGTCTAGTGAGTAGTGCGATTGTGTACGTGGGCGTGATGTGATGTGGCGATGTTGGCTAAGCGCACTCGACATTGTCGTGAAGCGCTGTCCCCGCGTGCGCTTGTCAATCGGAACACCAGCGGGACACCGGACACTTCGGGACACCAGGAGGATTTCGGGACACCCGGAGGACACCTGCGGGACACAGCGCCCCCCCGTTTGACGGGAGCTAGCATGATTTGGTCCGGCCGCGGCCCAGCCACAAAAAGATTCGGGAAGCCAGCGCACCGCGCGCCACCGGCCGCCGGAGGAGAATCATTTGGTCCGGCCGCGGCCCAGCCACAGGAAGATTTCGGGACACCAGCGGGACACCGGCGGGACACCGCCCGCCACCGGCCGCCGGAATGGAATCATTTGGTCCGGCCGCGGCCCAGCCACAGGAGGATTCCCACTCGCCCGCCCACGCAGCTTCGCCTCGCCCGCACGCATGCACGGCACGCACGACACGAACCCGAAACCGAAATCGATTTCCCGGTAGGGGGGGTCTCCATTTCACGTCGGACTCACCCCCCAGCCTCCGATGTGTGGGGCTATGTATGCGATGCAACCTATGTGAAGCAGTCCATGCGGTACCATCTATGTGGTGCAATTGACTACCCTGCACCGCGCTTGACCACTCCACTGCTCGCGCAAACATCCCACCCACCAACCCGCAACTTCGTTTGCAAAATCTCTTAAGACCGTGACGGTGGGTACCAAATGGCACTCGGCAACGACAACGACGCCGACGACGACAGCGACAACGACGACGACGACGACGCCGACGACAACGACTACGACGACACCGACGACGTCTCCAACGACTTCGACGACGCCGACAACGACGACGACGACGACGACGACGACGACGACGACGACGACGACACCGACGACGACGACGACACTACGAAAATACAAGGTTCGACGACGACGACTCCTCCAACGACTTGACAACGACGACGACGATGAGACGCCGACAACGGACCCACGGACACCGACGACACGAACGACGTCACGACGCCGACGACGACGACGACGACGACGGCGGCGACGACGGCGACGCCGACGTCGACGACGACGAAAACGACGGCGACGCCGACGCCGACGACGACGACGAAGACGACGACGACGTCGCCAACGAAGACGACGACGAGGGAGGAGGGAGGACGGCGACGGCGACAACGACGACAACGACGACAACGACTAGGGAGAAGGGAGGACGGTGACGACGCGAACGACGAAGAAGGAGGAAGGACGGCGACGCCGACGACGACAACGACGAGGGAGGATGGAAGACGACGACAACGACGACGACGACGACAACGACGACGACGGCGACGAAATAGGAGGGACGACGACGACACGCCGACGACGGACGACGACGACGACGACGACGACGAGGGAGGAGGAGGAAAGACGACCACGGAGACAACGACGACGGAAACGAACACGACGCCAAAGAGGACGACGACGACGAACACGAGGAAAGACAGACGACGACGTAGGCGGCGACGACGACGACGACGCGGGAGGAGGGAGGACGGCGACGACGACGACGACGACGACGCAAGAGCGCGCGCGCATGCTTTTGTTGAAAATCCGTGTTGCGAAACCTTGTGTTTTTGTATGTTTTTGGACACAAGATTTTGAAATCCTTCCGAAACCGATGGGTTTTGAAGGATTTCGGGATACGCGCGCGACGACGCGCGCGCCTGCACTTCGTCCCATCTTTTGCAGAGGATTCTCGCGACGGCACACGCACAAGGGCGTTCGATAGATTTCTACATGCGCGCGCCCGAAGCCCGTTTGGTAGCATGTTGTGAAAATCTTGAAAAACCTATGGTTTTCGTAAGATTTCGCAAGAGCTCGCGCGTAAGCTTGTTTAGCAAATCAGTGTTGCGAAACCCTGTATTTTGTATGTGTTTTAGAAACTCGATTGCGAAATCCTTCCGACACGGAAGGTTTTTGTTGGATTTCGGCATGCGCGCGACGACGGCATGCGATGCAACCTATGTAATGCAATCCATGCGGTGCAGTCTGTGTAATGCAATGTATGCGATGCAACCTATGGAATGCAATCTATGTGTGGCGCAATGTAAGCGAT